ACTCTCCTCCTCTCGCCTCTTTCCTCCTACTTCAACTCTTTCTCTCACCACCTCAGCCTCTTCCATCCCCCTTGCTCTCTCGCTCGACCCACGTTCCTCTTTCTCACTCCGAGTATCTATCTCCGTGGGTCTCTGTTTCGGGTCAAGCGAACCGTATTTAATTCTATCGGGTAAATTAATTCGGTACGTTCGCGGATAGTCAGTTAATTAACTCGAATCGCGAGGCGGGCTCGCGCGAATTGTCCGGTAAACCGAGACGAATCGGCGCGGTTCCGCGACGCGCATCGGAACGCGAGAGCGAGGGACGCGTCCGTCAACGAATTCGGAAAAAGTAGACGACGCTTCGCGATTTAGAAGAGAAATCAACGAGAGAGCCGCGGCTTTGTCAGCGCGGGCTGGCTGGTTCAATTAATTTATCGATTATTCCGATAACGAGGGCCGCGAGCGGAGGAAACATTTTCGTATCGTAATTCAAACAACCGCGTCCAGTGAAATTTCGCGCGGAGCCTCCGCTCTGTTCAAATTTGATGGAAGTATCAGTTTCCATGGGGAACCGGCCCTCCCAGTCGTAATTATTCGAGCTACACCCGAATTTCTGGCTTCGTTACCGGCGAATGTGTAATTATTGCCGGGAGTTAATAAGTGTAACCATTGGAAAATATTAGACGGGGACGTTTCGATCGATCTACTGTGCAGCCCTCGCGTCCAGAGTCAATCCTAAAAGCTAAAAATGCACAGAGGCAAGGGGAATCGGCGACACGCTTCACCACGGTCCTTCCAGGAAACAGTAGCCAAGCCTCCGTGTCCTCAGGATTCGGTAAACATAAAAAGCCGCCACTGCATAGAAACGAAATTCAACGTCAATGATCATTACATCTCGCTCCGGCGCATTCCGTTCCGTCCGCTTCCTCCGTTATGCGACTCGGCCAATAACATCAACTGTTGTTCTATATCTATTGACGCGAGCATCCTAAGTGGAAGAGTCCCCTTGCTCCAGTGGCTTTTTAGCTTTTAACACTAAAGCTACCGAACAGTTACAGTGACTAATTTCTAATTTTCTATAAAAGTTAGAATAATACGTTTCTTGAAATTCGAAGGGTCGCCTAGTCTCGTATCTGTGCAAATACGCAAATTTAATTTAAAATCTTTCGCAAACGTGCTTTCATGATTCGAATATTTCCAAAATAAAAACTCTAAAATAGGTCAATTTGACTAGTCCGGTAGTTTTAGTGTTAAGACAGGCTCAGGATGCGGGAGCTGCACAATGTCTTTGGAACAATGTCTCATACATTTTCATACTTCTATAACTGGCAAATCAATTAATATCAACTTAATGTTATAAACAGCTGCACGGATTAATAACATCATTCGTTCGATTCAATGAGCAAAGCGTTACGCAAGAAACTTACATCAACGACAAACGAAATAAATCTTCATATCCTGTTGCTGATAGAAAGAATTTTTATATCAAACTACGAAACAAAACACTCTTGGGATCGTTTAACAAATGTCCGAACCGAGTTCAAACAAATCAGCATTTACGTATTTAAACGTAACAAACGCCGTTTCGTGGATATCGATAAACATCGGCGAATATTATTTAATTTTCATTTATCTTTATTACGAATGAAATTCCGTTGACGCACGGTGACGGCGAAAGAAAACAAACAATTACCAAGCGTTATGGCCGACTGTAAAAAATTAATTGTGCACTTTGTAATCGACGTGATTCCTGATTCGATACTGTGCCTGTCCGCTTCGCGAGGATTCGAATCTTGTATTTTGTTGTGGGAACGACGGTTCACCTCGATCTCGGAGAGGCGGGGGCTGTATTTTCGAATGAACCGGCGTTCCGTGCGCGAGCGTATAATTTGACCGGTCCGTTTTGATTTTGATTACAGCGTATTGGCCGCGGGGCGACAGCGCAGCTTCGTCGCTTTTCGGCGGGATGCCCGGTGGATATGGGCTGGGGGCCCATCATTTGCCGTCGGCTTACGCCATCCTGAGCCGAGGCGGATCCGCGCCCGGTTTCGGGGGCCACACGCCGGCCTCCGCGCCGCCGCCATCCCCATACTCTCACAGCAGCCTTGGCACTCTGAGCGTGGCCGCCAGTCAAGCTGCTAGTTTAGGTAATTATTCTTCTTTAATTAACTTTAACCCTTTACACTCGGAAGCTTTTCACTAGAAACATTCGACACTTTCCAATAAGACATAGACGACATTATTTGAAACGAACTAATGAGGAAACATATGTAAATCAAGAAACAAAGATATTTTATATATCTTATATATTTTATTAACATCTCACGTATCGATATATAACACATTGAATTTTGTTATATCCAATCAAACGGTGACTGCGAATCACCTATCGAGTGCAAAGAGTTAATAGTGCATTGCCTTATACAACGGTCGAACGAGCCCGATGAGTGATCGACTATTTTCTTAACTCCTTGTCTCAATATCTTTTCCTTGAAAACTGGAGCGACTATTGGTAGAAAGCATAAATGCAATGATTTGTGGATTTATTAAACTTTTTTGTTGTAATTGCAGTTGAAGGGGAATAGTATTGTTTTTCTTGTTACTTTGTATGTAATAAATATTATTATTGTGATAAGTTATTTTAAGCGTAGCATGGTATTAATAAATACAAATATTAAAGGAAGCGACTAATAAATATGTGTAGTATCCTTAAGGATATTCCAATATTGTTCGAAAACTCATGATTTTCTTAGCTGTGAGTTCTAAATCTCTAAGAGAGCCGTATATTACTCACCGCTGTCAGCCCTCAATAAATTAGTCAAATGAAGATTGAAGGTAGCGATTCGGGTAGCAATGATATCTTGCTGATTGGGTTCAGGTATCAATCCTGCAAGCGCAGCATGGTGGACGATGGCCTCACACCTGGCGGCACACGACTACCTCGCGAGGTTACAAGGAGCGGCAGGACTCCCCGGATTCCCGCCCGGAGCCGAGAGCCTCCTGCCACCCTATCCTGCCTCTCTACTTAATCCCCCGTCCCTTTCGTCACACAAGTCCAGTAAGTGTAAGTATCGCAACATTCGTTTTATCATCTTCTCTTAGTCGTACAATATCTTAATCTCCTTTCCCAGAGTTTTTTTTTCAACCTCTTCAAAGCACTGCCACATGTCTCATCCCCTTGTGAAAACTAACAAGCGGATTTCCTACTACATAGGAAATACAAAACGCTTCAAACGAAATTAATTAATCATTGAAGTTGCTTTCTAAACAGAAACATTCATCGCGTTGTTCTCGAGAATTTAATATGCCCACACGCAAAAAGTGCAACAGATTACTAATTAAAATGTAGAACTACCCCTATTCGATCCTAAGAAATTTCAAGATGCAGAATAAGAACGCAACTGCATGAATATTAATGTCACGGAAATGTCGTGCTGCGAGCACAGTTTGTCCAATTCAGTGCGAAACTCCAATTATAAAATCCACCGGAACACAATTCGAGAGACTGAAAACTCGAGCCGCATTCCCGGCGACGATTTAAAGACCAGCGATTTCTGTTCTCGTTTCGCAGCTAAGTCAAGCAAGAGTCACAAGACACCGGCGAACAGCAGCAGCAGCAGTAGCAGCAGCAGCGGCAGCGGCTCGACGGCGCCGAACATGACGACCAGCAGCCTGCCAGTCTCGACACAGGCGCCGGTCACGTCCTCTCATCATAATACCTCGGCCAGCACCACGCCAAATTCGCAAACGAACGTCGTCAGGTACGGGTGCGGGGGCGGTGTCGGCCGCCTCGTTAAATCGAATGCTTTTCTCTCACTCTCTCCCATTATTTTTCAACGGACGACGCCCGCGTCCGCGCGGCGCACTTACGTTCTCCCATTAATTATTTTTCCATGCTTGCCGATACTACCCCGCAGCTCGGCGAAAGAGGGCAGGTGAGAGAGATCGTTAAGAATGAAAAGTGGAGGGGAGAAAAAAAGAGCACACGCTCCGCACATCTACACGAAACACACGTACCGCCCGCGAAAAACAAACGGCAGACCGCGAAATAAAACGCAGGAGTATGCTCGGTCGCGCGCGATCGATTTTTCTCTCGCAACAATTTTCAACCATCCTCCTCCTCCTCCTCCACCTCTCCCGCGTAAATTCTGTATTATCCGCCTACCGCCTACTCCCCTCGTCCCTCGGCGCGAACCACGGTCATTTAACTTTCATGCGATGCTCGTGACCGTGTAATTTCGTTGTTACGATTGTTCGATGGCCCTTAACGTTGCCGCCGCTTTAAACGATTTGTCTTTTGACCGGTTACGCGGTGTGGATCCCGCGGATAGAAAAAAATCGACGTCGGGACCGAACTCTCTTGCATAGATCATTGGAGAACTGATCTCGAAGAATTTTAGTCGTTTGGGTGTTGGTTTCTTTAATAATCGTGAGAAAGTACGATATTTCATTTCGAGTTGGACTTACGATAATGTTTAGAAATTCGTATTTCTGTTATGTAGAAATTTAATATCACTTTCTTTATTTAATTCGAAATTGAACATCGTTACCTGTTAACCATTCAACCTTCATTTAGTTACTTATTAAAGGGAGAACATAACTTTAAAAAGGATAGTCGTGAAAGGAAATATAATAGAAGCGGTCAATATAACAAGTATTCGCGGATTTTTACGCAGAAACATGAAACTGTATAACTGGAAATGCACTAGTTACAGAGAAATAAATGAAGTATCCAGAAATCGCATTTTAAAATAATTATTAGAAAAGATCATTTCTTATTGTAATTCTGTTTTCCTAATGATATTCTCGAAAAGTTGAATCTGCTTAAAGATCCGCGGTCCAAACACAAATTTGTTCGATAACTCGTAGAACTCGAGTGAGAAGTTATATTAATCGAGATTTATTTTATTCAGCGATCCTAGCAGTATATTGGGGGGTGTACGGCTGCCTCCCGACACAGAGATCATCAAGTACACGTCGAGCATAGTCGGTCCAAAGGTTCCTGGCACAACGAACCGCGGCAGGAAGAAGACTATATCCTTGGACACGCCGAGCGTGAGCGTGCACCCGCCGCCGGTGCCCGCTCTCACCGCTCACCAGACGAACACGACGACGACGTCGCTGATGATGGAGCCGAGAAAGTACAACCGTACAGGGGTAATTGCCATTTCTGTGCTATCACACGATCCACCGGAACGCAACATCGACTGCGTCTGAATATATTTCCACGATTGTCTTTGTAATATTCTAAGTGGAGAGCATAAACGATCCTTGGCTACGTTTCAGTTGCTCAAGACGTTTGTGCTACCAGCCAATTTGTACGATTGTCCCTTGGACATCTTACCACGTAATTTTATCCCGATAATATACAATATTCAATTGCTTTCTCCTGGATCCGCTGATTTATATCTTTATCTCCGTGAAGTATACCTCGTCGTATCGTATTGCCTCGAGGATACCTGTGAGTTTGCATCTTTGTATACTAATTTCGAGAGAATAGATGGATTCAATGCAGAAATGGCATGTTTTGCAGTCTTGTAATTCAAAATTGGAAACTATTTACCACCCTATTGGACATTCGGTTTTGTAATCATGGAATTTACCTCTCGCCAGTAATAAACTTCATATGATTAATATTCCACCGTGACTTTGTCAAATTTCTTAATACCAACGTTATAACACCGCGGTATCCAATAATTGTGAGGTAATCGAAGTGGAAATGAAAAGTTGCTGGAAGGTGAAGTCAGACACGGTCGACATGTTAGGTCATCGTGACCGGTTGAACAGTTTCAAACATTCTGCTATATAAATAATCAAATAAATAAATAAATAAGAAATGGGGGTAAAGGAAAATATAGGTTAGCTAACCGTTGCCGATTTCGTGTTCTTCCAGAACGAGTCGAACGACTACAGAGAACCGGTGGACCGCGTGGAAGTGATCAAGCTGCCGGCGCACTCGACGAACGGTTCCGTTCTTCCGGCGCCTACGTCGTACACGACGACCACGAACGCGAACAGTTCGAACGATTCGGATGCGCCGCTGAATCTCTCGCTGAAGCCGGCCACGACGAGTAGTAGCTCGCCGATATCCGGCAGCCAGCCGCTCAGTCAGCTCAGCAATCTGAGCCAGTCGTTGCTCGCCTCCGATCGAACATGTGAGTAAACCACCACCGCCGTGATATATAGTGCCTACGCGTTATATCGATTCCCATCGTTTCGCGCGATCAGCCATACTAACTTCACAAACATGTTGCCTAACCAACGCCAGATCGCTCCGGAGCCGGCTCAGTACGTTTAACGAACAAGCAGAAGCAAACATGAGTGAACACAGGCAAAGGCGCATTATCGCCTGTCGATAGATCAAAAGAAAACATTCCCGATCGTTCGTACAACTGTGACACGAATAAATTGAATGTTGATCGGAACACCAATGAACATGAGCAAGTTTCATTTTAACTCGCGGTAGGGACGAATCTGCTCGTCATCCAAAATTGATTTTATTTTTCAATCACTCCTTTCCTGTCTATCTATGCGTCTCCCGTCTATCTGGATCGTAAATGGATACTTGCATTAATCTTACGAAAATAGAGCTGCTCAACGATAGCCGACGAAGTTACCTGTCTCGCGGGTTATGAGATGTTTTTTTTAGGAACTAGTTCCTTGGAATAACAAATCGAATAACAAATAACAAATCGATATATATAGACTTAAATATGCAAACATCGTCAATCTTCCATAAAAATCCGAGAATTCTTTTTGACCAACCCAATATTAATCCTTCAAAATATTTCGATCGTTAGCCATAAGATTCCCAATCGGAACTTCAATTTCTAAACACCTGTACTTACTCACGTTCGTTCATCGTTCGCTTAAATCAACGTACAGATCCGGCTTCAGGTTCTCAAAGTTCTTTCAACATCATCCTTCCCATCATGAACCCCGCCCAATAAACTCTCATCGACGTTCTTTGTGAAAGATCAGATTCTCAATAAGACTGTGTCGTTGCTCCACCCCATTCAGTCTCCTTTCAAATGGAAATATTTGATTCGCGACCCGCAGCGAGGCGAAAGCCGGGCCCGAAGCCGCGAAGGGTGCCCCAGAACTCGGTGCCGGTGCCCGCGTCGCCCAGCCCGTCGCTGGCGCAGCTGTTCGCAGCTGCGGACTCGCCGCAGCGGCCCAGCAGCGGCAGCGAGGAGAGCGAGAGCGCCAGCACGACTCACCACAAAGATGGCCGGCCGAGGAACCTGGGCCGCGGCGTGTCCAAACCGAAGAAGAACACGGTCGCCTCGCTGCTGGCCCAAAGCAGGGCCTTGGGCATCAAGCCCACGCCGACGTTGGACCCCAGCATGCCGCTGCCACATCAAGTCTCGTTGCTCAGATCGAACATCCTCGCTGCCCAGCTGCACGCCACTGCGACCGGACAAGGCATCGACGACAAGAGTCAGGTAAATCGAGTCAGGATTACGATTGTTGGAATTCACGCTGGGAATTGATTGATATGAACCGATTGTCGAAGACACGAGAGTGAGAATATCAGTGGAATTGCGTTTGTGATCATCTATTTTTGATACTTGCCGGCGAATTGAAGGTTTAGTTCAAGGGCGAGATTTTTGAACGAGAATTATTCCTTCGTGATTATTGGAGAGCGTTTGTAAAGGTAGTTTCAGAATATTCGATTAATTCTCAGCGTAGACAGTGAATCTAATAATTACTAAATTTGATGAATGTTCTTATGATTCTTATTCATTCAGATTTCTTTTTGCGTTTTTTTATTGTTATCGATTATAATTTTTCTGTTTTTCCTTATCGTTTCATTTCGAAGAATTTATATTTCTTTTCGAACGCGTATTACTAAGGAAGAGGACGAAACCCGGCCGCCGATCGTTTTGCTTTTTTTTCACTTATGATTTCGCACTAAAACCATGCTCCCTATATAGCGGTCTTTGCAGGAGAAGATGAAGAATAAGCTGCTGGAGGTGTCCGGCGAAGAGAGCAACATGGACGTGACCAGCGAGAGCGGTAGTAACACCGACGTTGTGACGGACACCGACGACGACAACACGGATGGCGTCTCAAACGCGAAGAGAAGAAAGGTGAAGCCCAGCGAGAGGGACCTTCAGGTTCCTCTGGAACGTGGCTGGAAACGGGAGACAGTGATCAAGGGATTAGGGAAATCGGGGGTGATAAAGGGTGACGTGTCTTACTATAGTCCTTGCGGAAAGACGTTCAGGAGCAGTCCGGACCTGGCTAAGGTTAGTCACGTCTTTCACTGAAATCTTACGATTACTACTAGAGCTAGACAATTCGGGTTCCTAAATCTGAAACCTTGTTGAAAAATATTTGACAGTCTAGAGATTAAATTCGAATAGAAAGCTTCACCCTATCTTTTTCACTAAAGAGATGAAAGTAGTCTAAACGAAGAGGTTCTAGCAGAGTGTTTATGATCCTATAAACAAACAGAACAGGCCATAAAATAAAACAATGAATTTTCGGAGAATAAAGATACTCTTAACTGTGTAAACTGACTAATGTCAGGCTAAAGATTGATATAGTAACAATGGAAGCTTTTACTTCGCACCCGAAGTCGATTCTTCTTCGATGTCTCTTGAATAACGAGTAACGTCTACTGAGGTATTGAATTGCTCGAAGGTGTAGAGATTTACGGACCATTGTATTCTAATGAAACGGAAGACGCTGTTTATCATAAGCACGATGTATTCCTGCCTCGAAAGAAAATGTGTACCAATGACAGTTCGAATCCCCGGTTGATTACAGCAGATCCATCTCCGGTTCGAATAAAATGAATAACATTTCCTTTCCCTTTTTAGTTCTTGGAGCAACAGAATCCCGCAGAGTTGACAACGGCGAACTTCTCGTTCTCGTCCCGTCCGCTGGTGGGCGAGTTTCTGCAGCCGACGATGGGCCTCGCGGAGGCGGAATTCGTTAGGCTGGGCGCTCAAGAAGTGGCCAGGAGATTGGAGGAGCTTAGAGCCGCCGGTGGCTTCAGAGATGTGCGAACGAACAATCAGTACGAAAGGGAGAAGCTCGCGTACGCGAAGAAACTGGCGAAGGAAGAGGCGCAGCGGCACAAGGAACAGGCTAGGTTGGTTGAACATCTTCGACAGCGGAATTCTCTAATCTAAAAGACCTGTTTATCTTTCCCTTAAAATCGTGGAAAGGGAAACTCGAAGGAAACTAACGATTTACTTTCCTCGAACTTTCAAAGTTACGTAAAGCAGACTTCGGGCTAGTACAAATTGTTGATGAGGATTAAAGGGAAGGCGCAACGATTTTTCTAAATTAAATTTTCTGAATTTATAGAAACATTACTTGTAACAGTTTTGCAATTTGACTAATTAGTCAGCTACTGATTGCTTTAATCGAATGATAGTTGAAAATATGAAGCATCCGCTAAAGTTAGAGTCTATGAACGTGGATGATCGATGGATTGTCTAGGAAAGTAATGTTACTGTAAGTTTGTTCCCTCAATGAATAAACCAGGAAATGTTATCGATGCCCAGTCGAAGATTAGGAATGTCTAGTAACTTAGTTCAATCATTTGGAATTCCTGTCGCAGGCTGATTAAGGAGCAAGAGAAATCGGAACGTCAGGAGGCAGTCAGACGAGAGCGGGAAATTCGAAATCAGCAGCTGCTCGAGGTAAGTTAAACGCTCTCACACGAATCGTGTCTTCCTTTTTCACGTTTTTTGTCTCGATTCTCGTTGTTTCGTTCACAAGGAATCTGTTCTCTTACTCTATTTGGGATACCTTACTACGTTTTTTGTATTTTGTCCACCTGTCGTGCGTGTCGCATGCTCTCTGTGTGTGTCGTATTTTATATTATACATACATATATATATGTATATATATATATATA